TATGCCGACCGTTATATTGCTAAACCAAAATTTTCCTTTGGTAAATAGCTGTTAATTGGCGGACGAAATAAGCATTTCATAAACGTCAGACATCCCACAAACAATGCCAACCTTTTAGTTAGTTGACTGACATTTTTTTGGCGGAAATAAAATCTCAAAATGAGAAAATAAACATAATAACAAAAATGTACTGAGGAAAATGATGCCAAGAGCGGAGGAAAACTAACAACAGCAAATGAATTTATTATATGGGTAAACACTCAGGTCCGCGATGAAAAGGAGAATTGTGATTGGTTCTGTTAGCGGTCCCTATTGCAAAATTCGGACCGCTAAGATGGATCGCTCACGAAGTAATTTCGGCTAATTGCTTTTTCTATTCCAAAAATAAAAAGAAAAACATAAAAATAAACAGTTTTTTGTCAAGTATAAATTTTTTACCTTCATGTTTTGAGCACAATTTTAGTAAGATGTTCACAAAAGCGACGCTAGAAACGTAAATAAGTGTTTACCTTTCGGGAGCGCATTTACTAATAATGGATCGCGGAGAAACATCAATTCATCAGCAGATTAAAAAGAGCAGTTATAATGCATACTTTTTTGAACTAGCTTGTTCGGTCTGCATTGAAAAATATAGTCCTCTTCGTTTTTTGTAAGTTTATGGTCGAGCCGCAGGCGAGGTCCATACACCTGTAAGAAATTTGACCTGGATACGGACCTCACGCTAGTTTGATAACATGAATATATCCTGCATTGCATTTTTTGTTTTATTTGTTTTTGCTGTGACAGTAACGATATCTCCCTTCAAGGAGGGTCCCTCCACTCAGGCGAGGACAACCCATGGCTGATTTCCGAACGAGGTAATTATTAATGAAAGATTTACTTCATATCTTTCTTCGTAGCTCAAATATATGATCTTTCATACTGATTCACTTGTATTCTTCACCATCTATGGGTATATTACGAACTAACAATATAACGAGCTACCAGATGGCTTGATAGCTCAGTTGGTAGGGCACTGCATTGGTATCGCAAAGGTCATGGGTTCGAATCTCGTTCAAACCTGACTTTTTTTTTTCAGGCTTGATTTCACAACTGCTTAAGTTGTGTGTATAACTGGGATGATCAATTACGTCTTCATATCTTTCTCCGAGGTTCAAATATGTGATCTTTCATATATTCACTTAATAAAAAGATTAAATCAATCGTTCGAAAATAGTTCTTTAAAAAATTGTTAATATATAGTCATATAAACTACTTTGGTTACTAAAATGGTACCAGCGATGAACGTAAAAACTCCACAACCATAAACAAAGCAACTGCGTTGCGTTTCTAGAACAATTTTATTATTGCCTTGATCAGAATCTCTATGACTTGATTTATAGCCAGCAAACTATTAAATTAGCATGCAACTCCAAACCCGTGTTTTATGTTCTTTTTTCACCTTATTAGGATTGTCATATTTTCCCAGTTTTCCACAGCAAAGGTTATATCGATACTATTCATAAGCTCAGGTTATTTGACACTTTCCAGGATCCAGACCGTCTGTATCAATCTCTATACCCACTTGTACAAGGCACTGTTGATATTGTATTTCTGATCATAAAAGTTTGCCACTGCCAGGTAGGTGTGACCTTTGTACTCAAATGTTGTCATGTCACGTGCCCCGTGAGTTGGAATCTCTTGGTACATGTACTTGATGAACTGTGCTCCAGAGG